CTATGTACTGTTCATAGTTTAAATACACGGTCCTCTACACTTCTATGTACTGTTCATAGTTTAAATACACGGTCCTCTACACTTCTATGTACTGTCCATAGTTTAAATACACGGTCCTCTACGCTTCTATGTGCTGTTCATAGTTTAAATACACGGTTAAACTTCCACAATTGAGTGTTTATTGTTTTATTACTATTGTTTATTCAATGTGTACTAACACCACAGGTTTGAGAGTCTCACAGTTTCATTACGACACATCCTGGACATCTACAGCATTTACAATAAAGCAAACTTTGAACTTTGAACTTCTTGGAGGTGGATGTCGAACGCCTCCGCGCCTGCAGTTCTCCCCGGTGTCCGCCAGGCGGAGTCGTCTCGGGTACCAGTGGCAGGTGCGCCGAGGTGAAGCGGCGCGGGGGGGGTGGGTGGGTGGGGAGGGAGCTCGGGTGTTTCCGTCGCGCCTCGGCATTGAACCTCGGTGAATGAGGGAATGCGGCTCGGCGGACGTCGCTGGACACTCGGCGGAGATGTGCGCACGGAGACGGGAGCGCCCGGCGGCCGGCTGCGGTCCAAGTTAACCGGCTGTTTCTGGGGATGAGGGCGGGAGGGAGCCCCGGTCGCTCGCAGCAGGGTTAGCGGAGGTGTTTTTATTTAATTTAATTTTTTTTTGTTTTTTACCTCCCCGGGATTTTCTGCCTCTTGTCGGGGAGACGGAATGCGAGAGGAGCCGAGGAGGAGTCCCCCAGCTCCGTGGAGCCACGCATTGCAGGCAGCGTGAGTATGAGCAGAGCCCCGCGCGCGGGGGGGAGACAGCTCCTCCGTGGGGAGGGAGGGGGGGCTGGAATCACACCTCAACTTTTCAGGGACCCTCCACCATTTTATGTCATCGTTAATTAACCGCAGATTATTATTAACGTCCAGCTTGATTGATTATCGATCGTTGACGCGTGACAGTCACCTGGAGCACCTGCGGGGACCCGCACAGGCCGAGCCCGCAGCTTCTCACGCGGCGCCTCGCGACTCTCCCSCCCCCCGCGGATTAATTCCTGAGGATTTCTTCCTGCCTTTTGTTGCCACGGCGGTTGCCACTGACGACCAGTGAGGCCAAAGTCGTAAACAGAGCGTGCTGACGCGAAATAAAGCGCAGAACCGCAGAGATCCCAAGTTGCGTCTGATTTTATTTGTTTTGTGTTTTGTTTTTTTTTGGGGGGGGGTCGTTTGTCCCAAACGCAGGGTTCGAACAGGAAGTGAAGAAGGTGTTGGAGAAGTTGGGAGTGTGTGTGACATGGTTACCACATGCAACACAACCCCTGTAGGTCACACACACACACACACACCCAACCAATGCAACACTCGGGCCTCCAGGGTGGTTCTTTGTGTGGAGCTGCAGGAAAGGGGTTTGCTGGTCCCAGGATTGAGTTAACTGCGGCCAAGTGGCCAGATTACTGCGGATTAGCAGGCATTTAAAATAGTCACGTTATCCCACCGGTGCCTGCAGAGTCAGCGAGGAACAAACACATTTTTAGGCCCGGCTCCAAATGTTTGCTGAGAAGAAATCATTTATTTATGTGTGTGTGTGTGTGTGGAGTAACCGGCGTGAGGTGTTGCTTTCGCTGTGGCTGTGAAAATGTTCACGCACGGTGTTGCTGCTGTCGACCTGCGTTAAAGTCTTCATCGGTCAAGAGAGTTCACCCGAAGCAAAGATTGAGGCGTGACTCACCTCCTGCAGGGACACGGACTGTAAGTCTGGAGGTGGACACGCCTGACCTGTGTCTCCAGAGGGCGAGTTCGTCCCTTTCAACGGTATTCACTAGTTTCACCAAGTTATTCATTCACATTTACTCACATCAACTGGTGGGAGGTATTAACAACATACAGGGGTATCGTCCATTTTAAAATACAGAGAGGTAATGACGTCTGATCTTCTGAGAGACTACATGGGTTTCACAGTTCTGCCATACAAACCAGTAGCCAGTCAGATTTACCTCTAACCTCAGCGTTCGGCCTGTACGGACAAAACAGTTGATGACGGATGAAGGTGCACAACTGAAGTTATATCTCTAACACCTGCTAACATCTATTGGTAGTTAATAACTCAAAATTGTGCAGAAGACCTTCAAGGGATATTCACCATCTAGTCCTAAAGTCTAAAAATACCAAAAGAGCAGCGAGGAAAATGCTGATCATGTTGATTGAACAGTCAAATATTTGCTCATTACAAATTCTCAAACGTGATAATTTACTGCTTCTCTCTTCTGTGTCACCGTAAAGTGAAAAGTGAAGCGTGACTCGCCTGCTGCAGGGACACTGGCTGGACACAGAGGTGTGTACGGAGGGAGAGATGAACGACCTGGGTGCAGGGAGAGGAAGAGTTTATACCTGCCACTGACATCCGCCACTTTCTACCAAGTCGTTTATTCAGCACTACATGCATGTAGAAAACCTGACAAATGAAAGATGACGCATGAATATAATATATCACAGAGCTGATAAATCGATTAACAGTCAAAAAGACAGGGCAACAACTTCGATGCACATTGTACGTCACTGTAAAGTGACAATTGAAGCGTGACTCACCTGCTGCAGGGACACTGACTGGAAACTGTTTATGGAGGGAGAAATGCGTGACCTGGATACAAGCAGAGCAAGAGTTTATCACCAGCGTATATTCCTTTTTACAGGAGAGCAGCGGAGAAACAGTCTGGAGGAAAACAGACGAATGAAAGATGATACGGCAAAGTGAAAAAATGTCATCAGAAGTCGTAAATTTGCTGATTTCCGCTTCTCAAACGCGACATTTAACTTCTTCTCTGCTCTATATCACTAAGTTTGTTCATTTTTCAATCCTACAAACACCAAATGAAAAGGTTAACCATGCCAAAATTATTTTTTTCAGCTCAACAATTCATTTTTCAATTTGACATATTGAGCCCAAAAAACGCATCAGATGATTTCATCTTTAGAAACAAAAATCTGGTTAATTGCATCCAGTTAAGTTGGTGGAATAATAGATATTCTATAACAAGTAGTTTTTTTTTTACTTCTGTAAATTAGACATCAGACGTCTGCAGTCGGTTCCAACAAACCCAGGTTAGAAAATTGGTTTTTCAGGCAGTATGATGTTGATTTGCAGTTTTGACTCTTGGCCTGAAAACAGTTTAGCTCAGTCATTAAAAAGCTGAAAGCCACAGCAGAATTATATGAGTCCCAGAGGTTCCCTCAGCGATCCAGAACTCAACGAGGGGAAACTTCAGTGTCGCTGTGAGGTGACATTGATCTCCTCTCTCTTTTTTTTTTTTTCTCTCCAGTGTGAGAGGTGATGGTGAAATGAAAAGCAAAGCGTCTGACACTCAACTCTCAACCTTTGCTACCTGGTGCTGCTGCAGATAGAGGCGACGATACGTGACTGCATCGAGGTACTTTCCAGAAACGTGTAAAGTACGAGCTGCCTGTTGTGAATCATGAGGTTGACAGTGTGTTTTCTTACTCACCAGTTGTGGAGTGTGTGGAACCAACGGCAGCATCATGTTCTACGGTTCCTCCTCTGGGGCGAGCATGTCCCTGCCGTCCAAGAGTCGCCTGAAACGCCAGAGCAGGACCTTCACACAGGTACACACACACACACACACAC